CCCCAGCACCCAAAAGAAGGACCTAAAACGATCTTTGGCATTTTAGGACGGATTTCTACTCTTGGACGCTAGATAAATATTAGCCGTTCAAAGAACCACCAGTGTTTCTTCACCAAGCCAATGCTCCTTCATCTTTCATCATTCAAAGAAACTACCCGGGTACTTCTATATATTTAAAGGGAAAGTTTAAACTAAAATTACATATTAATTGCTTTGACCGCAGAGGCCTAGTTTAGGGAACAGGGTTTTGGTAAAGGTTTGAAAAGTCGCTACTAATCATTCAGCTTGAAAGGTGTGTTTACATAAACTGCTTCCAGCAATACGGAGTTTAATCTGACTTCCGATTTGAAGAGGGAAAACTGGCAGGGCGGAACGTATTTTCGACAGACATTAAACAGACATGGAAGTGAAAATAAACGCTCCGGAGTGAAGCCTGAGACTTTAAGTTCTGCCTATGCCCTGAACAAGTGTGTATGCATGTGTGCATGTGTGGGGCAATGAAAAAAGGGGGAAGTGGAAGGCCAGATTACAGTCACTCTCACTTCCATGCAGGAGCATGACTTAATAGTCCAGGAACAAATTCATTAAAAACGTTTTGTCTGTTCATTCATATATTCATTTTCTCACTAAAATCAAAGAACATTACTTTTTATTTCAAATTAATACAAAATAGTGCAGTAAAACATATTTTGCAGGTCTAAAAAAAGTGTTGGTGTGCAATAAATAAATGGTAGCATCTACCCTACAAACACAGTTGGCTTGGATAACATGACTGTGTGTGTGTGTTTGTGTGTGTATGAGTGTGTGTGTCTGCGTGCATTGTGTGGTCATAATGTGACAGCGAAGAACATCATAAAATCAGAGTGGATAAAAGGATGAAGAGGATAAAAAGCATCACTTCCCCAGATCCCCTTAATCTGGTGGCTCGTTTTTTTACAAAGGCTTCATGATTTCCATTTAATAAACAGAAGACGGACACATCCTGTCATGAAAATGCACTGAAACAAAAGAGCTTAGTGCCATAATGGGCTTTAGCCATCAAAAGTGTTTGTGTGTGTGTGTGTGTGTGTGTGTGTGTGTGTGTGTGTGTGTGTGTGTGTGTGTGTGTGTGTGTGTGTGTGTGTGTGTGTGTGTGTCTGTGTGTTTGTGTGTCTGTGTATACGAGTCATTTTCTGCTTGCAACCATGTAATTAATAGTCTGTGTATTTCATATCAGGACTAAGCGGGAATTTAGGTGTTCAAAAAGATAAAGTGATGTTTTTTCGCACATGTATATTTGATTTACATGTCATTTACACTATAAACAATTATAGTGAACAGAAATAATGTAGAAATATATCTGCCTGGAGTACTGGATCATGAAGGTACACATGACCTGATGATCAGAGCTTTTCCGTAACTGTTTGGAGTAAAGTTGCCAATTTCTGAAGAAAGGCTATTGGGCAAAGCTAGTCTGGAGTTCCCCTATTAGGTGGCATTTTTCCTTTGGGGTAGGTCATCCTTTTTGATTGCATTGTGTTGACATGTCCAGTGTCAATTTCTTAGGAAAAGTGTCTCTGTCTGTCCATAAGATGTTTTGGGTTGCAGGTTGTAACCCACTGATTTATAGTGCATACGTATCCAATACAGGCCATATGAATACTATTGGTGGTTTCTTAATTTAAAGCCTTGCACCTTAAAAAAGATTAGTATGTGGTTTAGCTGAATGCTGGATACTTATTGGTCAATTTGAACATCAAGCAGTCTGCTATTTTTTGCTAGCAGAATGCTGCTAAGAATAGCAGACCGTTGCTCAGGACGCTCTGATCAAAGGACTATGTGCAGTCATAGCAATCCACAGGAAAGTCTGGTCAATTTAACTTCAGTTGTTGACAAACCTCCATCAGAAAGCACAATGGAATACTTTTTGAATATTTATTTGTATATTGGTTGAGAGAGCACAAAACATTGGATTCATCATGGCTAGACTGATCCAAGTAAAGGAAAGGAAAAGAAAACAAGAACAAGAACAGCGCAAGAGACACCCTGTTGGTGTTCTTTTTTCAATCATGACTGCAAATGATCCCTTACATGTGGTGGAGTGCGTGACTCCTGCCAAAGAGTACGAGACAGGGATGGCGGTGGTGATGGAACAAATACAAATCACAGTGAATGTCCCAATCTTCGAAGAAAAAACAAAAAGAGTATCTACGAAATCAACAGTGACCATGAGATCGGCTCAGAATATCCGTCTGTATAACCAGAACCAAAGAAATTGCACTTACAGTACTACTACTGCAGTGAAAGAGGACTATATTGGTCAAAATAATGGACCACATCCTCTAAGCATCTGGAGAAGTTGTGAAGGAGTAGCTGGAGGTTGGAAATGTCACTGACAGTACCCAAACTCTGTAGGAACAAAGCATACTTATTCATCCCTGAACTTTTGCCCCAGAAGTGTGTGCTCTCAAAACACCCACAATCAGTTGAGTAGCCTTTGTCTTGCCCATAACATGTATATTCATTGAGCAACCATACTGTAGGTCTCCAAGAAGTTTTATACCTGTGGATGTTTATTCATTTTAGAACTCAAATAATAACAGCATCAAACAGGGAAAGGAAACACAAATCCTTTCCAGACATGTGAGCAGACATACCAAGGTTTGCAATGGCACCAGCATTCTTTACTAATTCCTAAAGCCCACTGGCACTGTTGCATGGACTGAAAGGGAAGCATATGTAGCTTTACTGTCAAGAAAATTACTAGATCCATACATTGTTTGGACCTAACGCATAATCCTTTCCATTGATAAAATTATGTTGAGTGTGCCTGGCTGGAAATCCACAAGTTCAGGGCTTCATCACACACATGCTTTTTCCCTTTTCTGGTTTTCCTTTAATTTGCAAATCTTGTAATCTAAGCCTAGAGCTGACTGAACCAACTTCTTAACCATCACGGCTATAGCGGCCAAGGCTTCAATCTGTTTTTCATTTAAGTGTCAAGACGGCATCCTTTTTAGTGGTTAACAAAAGCTGTTATTTGAAAATGATTATATGCTAAAAATTGTGTGAGGAAGTTTATGAACAGGCCCAATGGAAAGTACTGCGCCGCACCCGGAAGCCTTTTTCCTTTTCGTCTTCGACCAGAGTGTTATTTACCAAGCACTTCTGTAGGGAGAAGAACCACGATGTGCCATTTAGCCGGAGGTCAGGGTTTCTGCTTTTCAACACAGTGCATGTTTTCAACATTAGTGTCAAGCGACGCCTGGGTGATTCGCCAAACCGTTAAAACGCTGCCTGTCTCGGTGTCACTGAGGACATAGGAAAAGCAGAAGCAATGGCAACAGGGTCACACAGACAGGGGCGGTAGTCCCTGGAAAACATCGAGAAGGTGGTCTCCATCAAGGCACAGCTTAAGACAGCCTTCCTCATTTCATTTCCATTGAAGGGTAGATTGAGTTAGATGTTTTGATTCTCTGAAATAGGCGTTTGGAAATGGGGAAGAGCAGTGAATAAACTGGAGAAGAGAGTACAAGATACCTTGAGTTTGTCGCTTTTTAAATTAACTTTCTTTTATTAAACAATTAAATGACAATACCAGTCCCAACTGGAGTTAGGGGACTGTAGTGAATTATATAGGTTTTTGTGCATTTAAATGGTCAACAAAGGCAAAATAACCCCTGTATTCCCTCCAGAGGGCGTTTCTCTCCCACACACTCCCCCTCTACCTGAATCGCTTCCATTGGACTTCGTTTACTTCTGTTACACAGTGACATCAATATGTAACACTCAAGCTTCTATTGGCCAACACTTCTACACATTGAACATGATAGGCTAAGGGGCGGGACTTTTCCGACACAGCTCTAAGCGTTTGACAAATCACAACAGAGGCGGCCATCCAACCAATCAGAGCAGACTGGGCTCTGGTTTCAGACAGAGGGTGAAAAGAGGTGCTGCAGCACAGGCAGTATGAGAAAAATAAAGAGCTTTTTGAACATTAAAGCATGGAGACATGTCACTGTAGAGGCACAAAATACAAATATGAACCTGATAATAAGAATAATATGTCCTCTTTAGATCTCCTTTCTGTCTGCCAATGGGGTGTCCAGGTACTGCTTGCATGCCAACCATAGGGGTATTACAAATCCATGAATCACTTAGCAGCCCACGTCACTGGCTAAGCTCCAGTTGGCTGCGTATGAAGTGTTTATAACAAGAAGTTGGATGGGTGATAAATGGAGAGGATTGTAAAGAATATTAAATCTTGGCCATGATATATGTTTAACATTTGTCAAATGATGTTCACATCACATTAGAAAACATGTCCTGGGTAACATATGGTAACATATGGTAACATATGGTAAGCATGTATTTAAAAAAACAAAACACAATATAATTAAAACTGCACTAATAAATAAATTAGAACAATGGGAAAGTGATTTATCCCTAACTTAGTTCAGCTCTAGAGGTTTGGTTTAGAAACTCAACTGTTTTAAGAAAAATAGACTCTGATAAACCCACTGCCCAAAAACAAGGCACATTTAGCTGTCTGGACAGTTTTTCTTTGTGGGGGGAGAACTTGATTTTGGCCTAACCAGTTACTAGTGCCTGACGTATGAAGCTACTAGAAAGTTAACTTAAAAACTACTAATTCTATCAACATAGGAAACTATTGTTATCCATCACATATTACGTAAGGCAATTATTAGAATAGAATAGAATAGAATAATTTAATGTCATTATACATGTACAATGAAAGAAAGAAAAGCTTCTCCCTTTTAAAAGAAGAATAAGTGCAGTAATTATTTCCAGGGGTATAAAAGGCGAAAATAACGTATAGCAGTGGTATGAAGATAATTGAGATATTTATCCCAGCTGAATATAATTGAATGAATAGTAACTCATATTTGGCTGATGGAGTCTGCAACAGTGACTACAATGGTTGTATTGTAAGTGTAAAGTTAAAACACCCTGTTGGGTAAGGTAGTGATGTCATCTTTTACTATGATGCTGGAACTTACCCAGAGGAACCCGTGCTCTTGCACACCCCCAGCAGAGGTCTCTTGTCAGCAAAACTGTCCATCTTCAGAGGACCTGAAGAGGAAGAGAAGTCAAAGGAAGATGGTTGAGAAAAACTGAATAATCTCAACAACAAAGAGGGACATTCTTTAATCTAACAAGTGAGGCCTCTAGTGTTACCAATGCCGGAAGCCTTGCAATGACAGGAAATATGTAAATCATTACTGTTGCACTGTAATTCAATTACGGTCACAAAACATTTTCAAGAAAAGAAGACATTTTTCCCAAGATTGGGCCAAGTCAGCCGACCACTATCCTTTAAAGGTCCCTTATTATACTGTTTTTCATCGATATATTATAGGTCTCAGATATATACAAAACATGTCTCTGAAGTGTTTGGCTCCAAACACCAAACAGATCATTGCAGCATCCCATAAACCCCTCTGTTTTAGCCCTGTTTCCAAAGTGCTGATTCTCTGTCTGTTACTTGAGATGAAAATAAGGAGCCAATCCCCACGCCCCTCTGAGAGATATTTGGTTAACCTGTTAAGCACCAAGCCTGTTTTTCATGTTTCAGGCTCGAAAATGACATGCCCAAAACAAATGACTACAACTTAACTTCTAAAAGGGTTATATGAATAATTTCTTTTATCAAAGCAAGGTTACATCTGTGAGTTGGATGTAGAAGTGTCAGAATCAATATAGATGTTTTTTATTTTAAAGAAAATTCAGATTTTACATAGTAAAAAACTGTAAATTATAGTGTCCGTCCAAATATTATTTTTTACAGATAGTGAAAACTACTCTTGGATGATGGGTTAGTAGACTAAAAGCTATAGGAATCCAAAGTACAACATATAATAAGTACCCTGTATCAAGATTGATGCAAAACAAGTGACATTTGACCTTTTTAGAGAGGTTTAGCCAAAACCACCCCACCTCTGAGGTGATTTGGGTGAAAATGTTTTTTTTTTCATATCTCTGGCCCCCCTTGGTCGATTTGGATGGTTGACACCTCTTTCTGACCGTTAGAGCCAATAGAATCGAAGGGGGAGTCCCCCACACACACACGTTGTGAAGAGAAGAGGTGGAGGCTTCGCGCATGTAATTTTGCATCAGAGTGGACCGATCTCTCGCTCTGACATTTGGAAACGAAAAAGCAGTTTTATTGCTTATGGATTATCAGAAATCATTTCAAAGAGGACACAGACACATTGGATGAACCTATGGATTAACTGCAGCATCGTTTTTTTATCGTTTGAATGCCATTGAAGACCAGTTTTGACCAAGGTAAGCCATGTTAGCGTTTCTAGCTACCTAGCTCCACATGTTATGATGTACGCTTTCGTTTATAGCGTCGTAAATGTTTATCACTGAGTGTTGAGGTGGGCACCCCCAGATTCTGTGTCTCCAGCTGATGCTAATCGATGGGTTGGCTGTGCATCTAGGATAAGTAATAAGGGAGTTAGGAGTGAGTTTAGGTGCAGAGATAGGTTACATCTTTTCGCTCGTGGCTAATTCAGAGGCTGAGTGTTAGCATTGTGGTTTTTTTTTTGATTTTTTTTTTTAAAATATCAGTTAGCTGAGTTTCTTCCCGTTACATGGATATAAAACATTCATAGTTTATTAAATATTAAGATTCCTTAGACGTTGTTTCCTGCAAATGACGCGTTTATCTGCCCGGTACCGGGGGGGCGGTGCATAACAGGTTAAAAAGAACACAATGGTGCTCTAGGAGGAGATTCAGGTGATAAGGTTACCTTGGTTGGTTATTGGCTAATAGTTACACAAGGGAGCGAATTGTTTTCACCTGAAACTTTCAGAATCTCTTTACATGTTTATGTATAAAAGATATGAAAAAGTGGATTTTGCATAATAGGTGACCTTTAAAGAAAAGTGGAAAGCACAGTTGGTATCGACTTTGGATTGCTGACATTTTTCTGATCCTTCACTGTGTGAGGTTTTTAAGGAAACTTTACCCAAAAAAGAGCTAAGGACGGAAAAACTATTAAAAAAATTGAAGATAAATGCGCTGAATGGTAAAAAAAAATAGGAATTACAAATGTTTTGTCTATGTCCTTGTTTGTTTTGGGGATTCAGGGTGGAATTACAGCACTGTAAAACCCAGCAGGCACACAACAAAGACATTTAGAGAAAATATGTTGCGTTAAGCAGGCTGATCCTGTATTTTCCCTGATTGTCTCATTCATGAAGACGGACAGAGGATCAGGGGATTGTGGGCATGGGGACGCTTAGTTCGAGGAAGACGTTAGCCTTTGGGGTTCTGTAATTTCAGGCTTGACAGTAATCAGGCCCAGTTCCTGTATCGTAGCATGAGAGCAAATGTGACTTCCCTAGCAGCCTTTAACACTCCACACAGGGTCCTTCCTTCTTTCATGTGTCTGTCATCAGAGTCAACATTTTGAGCCATAACATAAATATCCCTTTAAGAGGATTAGTGAAAAAGTCACAACATTTGATGATAAAAGATACTTTTATTTGATTGAAGCAAGCACTACTGACTTCCATGCAGACGTTTGCATGTTTCAATGTAACAGAGGGACGTGCTGTATGTTGAGATAATACCGTAACATGGATTAAAACCTTTCAGACAACTTGGTTATTGTTAAACGTTTAAGTATTTTTAGAACTGCTGTCAATCGATTAACATTTTTTTTTTTTTTTTTTTTTTTTTTTAAAAATAGCATTAATGTATTTTGGGAGGAGATCAAACAAATACATGTGTGGTGCTATAAAAAAGCTGGTAAGGGAACCATTTTTTAAAACTATATTATAACATCTTAGCTTACTTTTGCCAATACTATGTGATCGCCCTCTGTATAATGTGCACAGAGCCTATTCTTGTATTGTTGCTGCCGATACGTTATTGCGAGCACTATCTGTTCCTACAGTGGGGATCTTGCTCGCTATCTCGCACTCATGTTCAACTTCAATAAACTGGCTAGCTCTTGTTTCAGCAAGAAACCAAACCTCAAGTGAACAAGTGCACAACATTTGTCACGGATTAGATGTGCCGTACACCGAGGTAGTTATGTTGCTAACTGAAGTCCAGTGGTCTCCAGTCAGTGCAATACATGTAGCTTGTGCCAATTCCTCTGTTTTTTTTTTCCCTTTTCATTGCCATGGTGAATATCCACGCTGGAATTGTGAGAGCAAGTTTTGCTTATTAACGCAATAAGATTAACCTCGAGCGTTTACGCATTAACGTTGACAGCCCTACTTTATAGTGTTGGAGCATCCCAACTGTAGCTCTATTTTGAAGACATACAACCGTTCTGTGCCTCATTTCACAAGGGAACAGAAGATCACAGGTCGTAAACTCCGGAGCGGATGTGGATAAACGCATTTACTCCCTTTGGAAAACCATTCCTTCCCTCTCTATTCTAGGAAAGGGTAACCTTGTCTTATTATAATCAACACCTATTTTCGGGTATTTCTAAGTCCGCCCGCCCACGGCCTTGCATGGCAGACAATCGGCCTTTTAATGTCTCACCACAGTGCACCACTGTTCTCGCCCTAGCAGATTGCAATCAGTGTCCTTCCCTCCAGTCGTACAATTCATATTTATTTTCTGCGGAGAGAATTGCTCCCCTCATGTATTGGGGCTATCTGCTGCTTCTGATTACTGTGGTTTTCTTTCATCCACTTCCAGTGCTCTTCAAATGCCGCCATTGTGTGTTGTTGAAATCTGCCAAAAGACCGGAACCAGGACGTAGAACAGAAAGGCGATTTTCTCACAAACAATGGCACAAACCAAAGAGCTGCTTTCTAGGCAGCATTCTAGGCACTGATTGACACCTGCAGAGATAAAATGTAAACTTCATGTCTGGAATGTATCTAATCAGTGGATCCACTAAACAATTTGCCTGCTAGCCTTTAAGAGTTCAACAATGAAAAAGAGTAAAACGTGCAATTGTTTATCAGCATATGAACATTTATGCAATATCAATTAAGTATTTTTGTGTCAAAAACACTAATTAAAATTATAGGAAAAAAGCACATTGAATATAGCAGTTGTAAAATATAAATTGATTTGAATGTATAACTTCACACAACTTGATGTGCATCGTTTCTTGTATTTGGTCATTATTACTGAACATGTGGTTAAGATGGCAAAACATTACTGCTTCTGATGGGAAGCAACAATGGCTTCTCATGATGGCAATAAATGTAAGTATTTGTGTACATTTAAACAATATTACTTTCCGGACCAGGTTTTTTTACCCATTCTATTAGCATGACTTTTTCTACACCACCTGTTAAATCAAATATGTATTTATATCCAAGAAATACAACAAGATCAATAATTATGTACTATGTAATGTAATGTGTGTGTGTGTGTGTGTGTGTGTGTGTGTGTGTGTGTGTGGAGACGAGAGACATGGATGTATACAATTAATCTTTTCTTCTCTACATGCCCTTATATTGAAAAAACAGGTACACAAAAATAAATGTCTTCACATACACACACACGTCTTCACAGACACACACCCACGCATCAAATATAATGTATTTTATAGCAGTTTCAGCAAGGGGGCACTTCTGTATACAGTGAAGCCACAGCAGCTTTGGCAGCAGGAGAGCTGCAGCTGACTGCAGAGGCTTGCTGCCACAGACCAACACTAAGCGTTGATTGACTTTAGGATGTAGCAGGGTGGAGCACCGTTTAATTGTAATGATATAGCACCAGTTAAAAGCCCAAAAACCAAAACTGTATTAGATTGTGCCATAAAAAATGCATTTAATAATAGACCTTGAAATTCAAGTTAACCAATACGGGACAGATATTTGAAATGTATTTTGAAAATACTCTTCCAAGGACTTAAGAAAACATATTGAAAATACAGACAGGTACTTCTGAAAATTTCGTTTTTGAAGATTTGAAAAGATAGACTTTGTGTTATTTTGTGTTTTACCTGCAAGTTATGCAAACCAAATCCTGTGATGTTCCCTTTTGGTTTAGTGTTAGGGTTAGGCTGCACAGAGACTGATTATTTGTTGGAGAGAAACCTGCTAGTGGTTTCTTTATGTTTCTTTATGTGTCTTTATGTTTCTATCTGTCTTTACAGTACAGTCAATCTTCCTATCTGAAAAAATATTTGGTATATCAATTGAAAAGGGTGTTATTATGATAAACATATTGCATTAAATTAGTTAAAATACCAAAACAAACTAAAACACCATGTGTACCATGTTGTAAATGCATTGAGGTAGCAGCATGTGTAGCCTCATGGTACATTACATCTAAATAATATTAGGTCGAGCATTGTACAAACTCAAATCAATTTAGATAAGCTGATCAGAGTTTAAATAAACAGTGTGTGCTTTAAAGTTTGTTGTTTCATATTACAGCAAGGGTATAATACTGAAGATACTCACTGATATGAGGAGCTGGCAAGATGCGCGCCGCTCGAACAGGACCGTGGCGTACTGAGAACAGCTCCTGGGCCTCGCCTGCCAACTGAAAGAAATGAAATAAAGAAAATATATTAAACATATACAGATAAATTATACATTTGACATATAAAAGTACAGACTGATATTACAGTTCAACAGTACAAGTCAAAAGAAGTCTTTCACTAATGAAAGAAATAACAAACCAAAAAATATATACAGGATAGTTTTACGATTCTAAAAGAGTACTTTTTAATTCTTAGACCTACTTGTGCATTTCCAAAGACAACACTGACAGCCGAAAATTGGAATGTCCCTGTAACTGTGTGTTAAAAACAGACAGTAAAGTAAAATGATATATAACGTTGCAAGACAAACTGGGCAGCAGAGCCCGGCAGTTGACGTCTCGGTGTTTACTCATTTTGGTCAGATAGGATGCTAACTATAGCAGCTACCTATTACTGTTCTTCGTCTACTATTACTAACAACAAAATGTGGTTGGTACCCATAAGTACAATTCTTAATATCCGAATGTATCAACAGCTACTCAATATTGGTTCAGTAATGAGTCCTAAAATTCGGAAATGACATTTTATCACTTCCCGTTCCGTTGTCTTTGAGTCAATGGTTTCTTTGAACGCGTTTGTTGTTAGAAGCATGACATATGGTCTGTTAGTTAACACAAGCTTACGAGATTTTCCCGTTGTGTTAAATGACATAAAATGTGTCAGCAAAAATATCCCACTTGTGAATGTCCAAACTTCTATGTGTCATCAAAACGATGGTTGCTAACAAGTGAAAAAATGAAACTAATTAACATTATTAGCCGACACAAGTCTACCTTTAGCATAGCGGCGGTGATGTACAGCCATGTGAACATGATGTAGTTTGTTTATAGTATTACGTTAGCTTTTCATTTCTGATGATGATTGCATTAGGCTTCAAAAATCACGAAGTAGTGTTAATGTGTCGAGATTATCCTGCTAAACGTGACAAGTAACATTAACTTGTATTGGCGAAAAAGTTTACTTTATTGCAAAATACTGAAATCTAATAGTTCAATTCTGGGTCTGCCTACAAAGATACATCATCACTGCACTACTCCAAAATGACTCAATTACACAAGGAAAGAAATAAAACACAAAAGCTGTTTGTTCAAGTGTTAATGCTTTTACAGTTAATGATCATCGCAAGTGCTTTGAGTGTTTTTTTCCCTATAACTTCTCTTCATCAACCCACTTTACAGATCAAGTGTAACAAGTGCATTCCAGCACATGTGCACAAGCTTAGTATAGACATTTAAGGATAAACACTAAAGGTTGTCATATTAAAGAGGATTTGAAAGCATTTCTGTTTAAATCATTTAAATGGATGTGCATTTAAATTGATATCTGCTTGTGTCTGCCCAATCTGGTTTAAGCTTCATGTGTTCATATGCGATGACGCAGATATATGAGGTCAGTGGCCTGTGTCTAGCGTGTGTACTGGCACATTGTTTGAGCGCAGAATGTCCCACTTACTGTTATTCTTTTATGCGTTAAATTACAGCGAAACATGCATTATCACTTTACTTGTGCTTTAATCTAGTTGTTTGAAGTCTTTTAGCCCATCCGAGGGGATGATCGCTCTTTTTGTGCAATTAGTAGCCTTTCCAAAGTGGCGGATTTGCAGCTGTGTTTTATTCAAAGTGCTTGAAACCCAGTAGTGGTAGATTAACACTGGAGACACGGGCAGGTTTTACCAGCACGGATAGCAGGAATACAAGGCGGTTGGCAGAAGGGGAGGATTCCTGTGAAGGCAAATGGATCTGGGAGGGAGAATAATGGAATTTGCTGGATTAAAAAGGAAGAGGGGAGGGCCAGAGGTTAATGCGCCGGGTTATTGTGCATTACCCCACTGCTCATCCTCGCCTTACATGGCTCTGTGTGACATCCACTGCCATCAACAACATTCCCACCATTACATTAGTGGCACGGCGTATGCAATATGCCAAATTGCTTTTTCAAAGTTGTTTTCCCTGCCCACGGTTATTCATTATATTCATTTCATTTGTGGCTTGGATGTTTTTTGTGGAAACACAGTGTCTGCTCTTCTGTTTTAATCTCTCAAATGTAATACCATAAGCTGTGAACAGATATCTAGGGCATATTCACAAGTGAGTGTGCTCACTGACACAGTGCTGAACATATTGGAGGTCTGGAGGCAGCAGGTGCTTCGGGGATCGGACGGTAACAGGTGCTCGTTTATGGGCTTTAATAAAACGCTGCACTAAAACGTTAAGAGTACATGAAGCTAGAACAATGCAACACCACTTATAATGTTGCTCCAAAAAATAACTATATTTTACTTTTTATGTGACGCATCTCAGGATCGCACTCACTGTCAGCTGACCTGATAAAAGGTACAGCTGAAGCGACGTGAGGATGTTGCAACTTGTCTCTTTATATATTGTCAAATGATTTGCTAGTTGTCTAAATATAGCGAATGTGGCCATGTTTGCATATTTGAGGCAATAGTTACATATAGGGGTGAATAAGCGTCTACCAATCAGAGGCTTGATGGTTCAATCCCCTGCAGTCAAAATGTTAACGTTTTCTTGGGCACCAACAAATTGCTACTGTAGGCATGGTTCTAAAAGTATATGGACGTCGCTTCGGATTAAAAGGTCAGCTCAATTACATGTCATGTAATGTTGTATCCTCCATGTGATTTTGAATTAGGTATGTTGGATTGGTCTATTGTTATAATTAAATGTTCACAGAACTTAACTAAAATCTGGAAATAAATTGAATTAAAGGAAAGCGGGTTACAGGTCCAACCAGTATTATTTATCATTACATTTAAATTGGGTTTTAATGTAACACTGTAACTGTTGCAACATTTAAAAATACTGTCCCGCTGATGAGGGCAAGATGCAGATTTGAAATACTTTTCAGAATTTCATAACCAACGTCAATTATTCCTTCTTTTCTGTCCAACTGTTATCACCACAACATTCTGAAAAAGCCAACATGTGTGTAACTAAAGAAAAGATGTAAGGCAAGTATGAGCAACAAACAAATGGAAGGTATAATTTAGGAAAATATTAAAATGTTGATATCATCACTGTGAGAAAGTCTTAGCCGTGAGTTACTTCCCATTATAACATCAGAATCCCAGCATTTTTACAATCCTTCAAGAAAATAAAGATAGCAATCTGTTGGCGTAAAGTTCCCTGAAGTTACCCATTTTGTTATGAGGTTCTGTCCATTTTTTTAAATAGTTGTGTTGAAATTCCTGAAGAAAAGAGTGAAGAACTTTGTTTGGGAGGTAGCAGGTGATCCCATTAATGCATTGCTAGCAAAAAAACTTGCAGTTTGGTAGCTGTATTACAAAAACTGCGGACACTTTTTCTTCCAAGCAGGTATATTATCTCAACACGTATGCAGACAGACAACTAGTCCACCACAGTCTGCCTTTTATCAGTATCTGGATGACACCTCTTTAGTGTTAGGCGGCAGTAATCTTCATCGCCTTAACAGCTCTGTCAACATCCATACAACTAGTCTGAAGTCGCTCTCTCACAAGTGTGTGAAAGTGTGTGTACACGTGTATGTTCATAGCCTGCCAGGCCATTACAGAGGGTGTTGGTTTAGCAGATGTCACAAACACTTCACAACCACTCAAGAGCTAGAGACCGAGGCACCTTCAGTGCTTACTTAAAACCCTGCAAAAAAACACAACCCAGGAACATCCCATAAACTTTCAAAACTGAAAGAAAAACAATGACGGAAGACAGCGTGTGATAACATGCTTTTCTGCACTGTGTGAATCAGAATTGGTATTCTAATTAAAGTGAAAGGCAGAAGAGCCTTACCAAGCTTATATTTTCACTGGGTGTGAGTAGTGTGGCTAAAACAGCTGTAATCCTTTGCTCGACCAATATAGAGCTGTGCAAGGATGACGTCATTTTGAAGGCCGACCTGAAAGTTAGCTTTGCAGGGGATTCCTCGACAAAAAGCAATACGTTTGTTTCATTGGATTTGAGAAAATTGCAGAAATTAAAATCTGTGGCAACTTCTGACACTCAAAGCTTTTGTTCAGCGGGATAATCTCCAAAAATGAACACCACTTTTATAAAAGCGTAAATGCAAAAGTGAAAAAAGCTAGCGTATTTCTATAAACAAACTACACGTCAACACCGCTAAGCTAAAGGCGGACTTGCGTTCGGCTCGATGACATTTAATAGTTTCATTCAGCCACTTGTTATCAACCGCAGTTTCAAAGACACGTAAAAGCTTCAGAAATTCACCTGAAACTAAACGTAAAAATGTCATAAGCTGGTGCTAACAATAGAATTTATTTCAGGCTTCTAAGAAAAAACCTGTTCAAAAAACCATTGACTTCTTGACTTGGGAAATGAGAAGATCTAAAATGCCAACTCATTCCCGGGTTTAGGACTCATTCATGCACCACTCTAACAACACAGTGAGAGTGAGTAACACAGGAGCTCACGTCAAAGTGTATGTTCAAAGGTAAAGTAAGAGTGTGTCCTTTTACACACAGACTGTGGATGATCACGCGGTTAAGGTTACACTGATAAGGGACTATGTTGTTGAAAGGATATATGTAGAGTTTGCATTTCTATATGCCAGGCAAAACTCGGTGTGTGCGTAACTTTATTAAGTCACAGAGCAGAGAATCTTCTGATGATTTTCCAAGACTGACTTCAAAGAAGTTCATTTTCTGAATGAAATATTTAGCTTGGGAAGAGTTTTGAGGTTTTACAATCACCCAGTCGCGATACCCTTCTTGAATAACAAATATATATATTAAAATGCAACTCCCAAAAATAAATAGTAACCAAACAGAACACTTACAGTGTGTTAGGAAGTACTACAGTGCAGCGTGGTGTGCTCATGGCACTGCTTCTTGAGTTTCACAAAGACCAGGACTATTCAGCTGTATTGCTCAAGGCAGGGGACGGACATTTCCCTGAGCAATTATTCCCCGTTGATAAATTGACACACTCGACCCTTCTCTGGCCTTATGACTACTTTTCTCCTTTTGTGTTGTGTTTATTGGGTAGCATTTTTGATATACACTTCAGAGGTAGTTTATATTTTTCCTCTGAAAGGATGAGAACTATCTATATTCCAACCCATGGGGCGCTCAGATACACAATGGCGAGGTCATCCCCCAATTTGTCCTGATTATCTCTGACCTGAGTCCTTCTCTGTAACAAGCATCACTTGAATGAGCAGTTATTATTCATCTTTACAACAATGCTTCATGACAATTTTCCTGATATACTCATTTAACTGTATCACAGAAATGTTTTCTTTTTGTCTACATAGTATTATTTAACATGCAGCAACTTAGTAACATTGGTACATTGATGAATAACATAAACATTAAATACTTTTCTATGCCTTGATTTGCGTTCATTTAATGCGTTGATTTGGTTACACTATATATGTACAGTATATATATATATATATATATAAAGAGAGAGAGAGAGTTGCTAAAACGTCAGACTCACTTATTTATTTTTAATTCCCATTAAGCTTAACTAAAAATAAACGTTTTGATTGGCTGCATCTGGCTGCCAATGATAGATGTATGACCTATCAATCGCTGCCCACTACACACCAAATCTTCTTTATGTGCATCTTTACTCATCGTTTGTTTTCTCTACAACCTTTAGATCTTGGAACATTTTGCAGCTCTGAGTCGAAGCTAGTGCTACTGTTGGAACCAAATACTGTCTGTTACATGGTCAACGTCGCTACCTAGTGGACAAGGTATGTACTACAACACAGTGTTGAATTTAAACGGGGAAAAGAGCCAAACCAAGCAGAGATCAAGCATTGATAACTGGTTAATATGAAATGATAAAAACAACTATTTAATTTGTTCTAGATACCCCTTATCAGCATATTTCATTGTTTAGCTTTAGCATTTGGGTTTGTGTTTCATTTGAGAGCATCTCAAGAAAATGCTTTGACTACAGCATGGAAAGTTAATATTTGTCATGTGTAAAACTAGTGACATGGTTAACTTATACAGTAGCACACATCCTAGATATGTGGGATCAAAATAATAATAAACTTGATCAATGGCAGGTGACATCCAGTAAATCAGAGTAGCCCAATTTGTAGATCAGTCAGTAGGGTTGTTCTGACTGATTCATTCCACTACACAAAGAAGTACATATTTTCCTGTTTGCTTTTTTCTTAAGCTACGTGTCCGGACAGTGGATATTATTTGACTTGGGTTTGACTGACCTCAGTATGGACATTATGTATACACAATGTTCCATTACCAAATCCATTTTAAAGACTGTCTCTCGAGACATAAAGTAAAGTCTTCATTGAGGTTAGTTTTTCAGTTTGGTAACATTGAAGAGGAGTAGAGTTAAGCTTCACCAGTCCTAAACAGGCCTGTTTTTGACATATTTTATTGATGGCACAATGAAAACTATTTCTGGAACTATATCTACTGTTTTTGTCATAGTGATTTTGCATTCACTTTTAAAATCTTTATCAACTTTTTAGTAGGGTACAATATAGCTATGGCCAAATATCGTTATATAGAAAGCCAAATGACTGACTGTTACACATATCCATCTGAATTTGTGCTTGACATGAAACGTTATGGCACAAAGACTCCTGTTTGAAAATGTAAAAAGGTTGAAGCATTACAGGCAAATGAGGTGAGTGACTTACAGATACGCTCCAGAGCTGCATCCCGTCAGTGTAGCCAATCATGAGGCAAAGAGGAGGGTCAGTAGTTCCACTGTGCATCTCCATGAATTCTGGATTGCGGGCGGTGTCTGTGCAGAAAGAAAGGTGTAATTAGCAGATGCTTGAATCATCCAGTACTATAATAAACAAACAAATGGTTTAATATTTTAAAAAGTTATGTTTTAATTATCTTCATTACCAGTGTACGAGTGACGTTCGTATTGTTTGCACACTGTAAGTCTTATTGTGTGTTATCATGGCAAAATGTGTTCCTTGAGCAACCTACTGTAAAAGCAATTAACCCAGATGCCATTTTGAGTTCTCTGACAGGCGTGTATTTTTTGACTGATGGCAGATTTGGATATAACAATTGGATCCCGACTGTGCAAGATGCTGTCAGAAAACATCATAGTTGTGCAGTCGGGAAAGGAAAAAAAAGGCTGAGATCGTAGATGGGTGAGCTCCAAGCACCGGCGCCTGAACACGGGTGGCACACATGGAGCAGCTCGCTTCCACACTGTGATAAAACTCCATCATCACCGCGAAGGGAAAGAAGCAGCCTTCATCTTTATGGAAACCTGAGTGACTATGGAGTTTCACTTGAGTCTGATGACCAAGTTCCACCACGATACCTGCATAACTCTTCAGATCAAGTCCCTCTCAAAGGACATACAGCACTACTGGAGCAGTAGAGTAGAGGTTTGAAAGAAACGTAGTACCTGACCCTCACACTTCTTATTAGAAGACTACACATAGAGAATTAAAGCAGGACCATATAAGAGAACAAAGCAGAGAAGTAACAGTCTGAGTCTGAACCTTGTTGAGCAGCACCTAATACAGTATATCTGTGGCAGTAAAATCCTAATTTCTGTATATCATAAGAACTTAGAAATGGAATGCATCCAACAAGCTGTGTAGGACAGAGAGTGAATACACATAGTTTACAGAGATGCTGTATGAGAAACCAATGTGAGTTTGGAAAATTGCACAATGTAAATCTATTTTAGTATACCTCAACAATGGAATTATGATCAGTAGAAATGGCCATGACATGGGACCTTTAAGTAATAAGTTACATTACAATATTACTGTCTCTGAAATGTAATGAGTTACACTACTTTTATATTACTTTTGAGTTACTTTACCAAAATAACCGCAAAAGAATGGCTAGGTCTTTTAAATGCTAAAATGTAGTTTAGTGCAGCTCATTATACATCCAGTGAAGGGCAATGTGGTGTAACAACTGTGTAGGCCATTAAGGCTACTAACAACTTTTATTACACGGCTTAGTTGAATACTCGATTCTGATTGTAAATTCTTAACATGTGACACGTTGTTAATACAGTAGTACAGACCACTGTCAAGGACTATAATGAAGGTTGCTAAGGAGGATCAAGAAAGAGAAAGGAAAAGAGATTAAAAGACGGAGCGCTGGACGTCAGATAAATCACCAGAAGAAGGCAGAGAGGAAGTAAACAATCACAGGAACACGGAATGGGCTCTGCAGTTTGTTTAGTATATGGTCGTGTAATAAGCGGGATAATGTGCAGCGAGGCGGTCATTATGGGGAAAAGAACCCCCGAGAGGCTGATCAGGGAACCCGACGCGAAGCGGAGGGATCTTGATGAGCCTGAAGGGTAAACACCAGGCTTACTAATCTACCCGCACAATTTCTCTGGTGTCGGAATGTCTCGCGATGTTGGTAAATTCTTAAAAAACAAAACACCATTTCATTTCGGGTTAAAATTAGTTGTAACTGCGTTAATGAGAATTGTAACGGGTAATATATTACCCAAATTGCATTAGTAATGCGTTACATTACTTCGTTACAGCAAAAAGTAATACATTACTGTAACTCCGTTACTTTTGTAACGCGTTACACCCAACACTGACCTTTACAGCCCTGTCCTTTCCCTTTTTCTTTTCTACGTCCTTTCTTTTCCTTTTCTATATGATGAGTTTTGATGATTAAGAGCAGCAGAGGGTATGACAGTTAATGCCTTGTTTACCCATAAAATGTAATGTTTTGATGTATGATTTGGTGTGTAGACATGATAAGGAGTCATCTCCCCAGATGCTACCTCAATGTCTTGGGCAAGATAGTGAACCCCAAATTGCTCCTGATGTGTGTGTGAGGGCCTGTTAATGTTTTTCTCTTCTGATGAGCAAGTGGCGTCGACATGAAAATAATATGGTTTATAGATTTAGTGCATCCCTTTTAGTTCCCAGGAAACATGGACGGTTCGCTTTGAGTTGCTGTCAGCACCAAACTCTTTCAAACCAAAAAGGGTTTGGGGTGTTTTGGACCATGTTATGTTTGCAAAAGCAAAAGCAAATACTACAGTAGAACAAAATAAAGAAATGACATTGCAACTGTTTCCTAACCAGTTTAAGATTCCCTGCAGTAACTTTAAATAAAGAACACCATGCCGTTAGAACTCTCTTTTTTTTTAAATACTAAACTAAACTAACTTGATGTTGTCAGAGAGTTACAAACTTACCGTTGATGTCAGCTTTCTCAAATCGAACCCAAATGATTTTCTCTTTTTCATCAGTGGGCGGAGCTCCAGTGTATGCCTGTTGTTCGGAAGACAGATAAGATACAAACAAACAAACTCAATTCCCATAACCAGAGGCCTGTACTACGAAGCTGGTTCAACCTAACCTGGATATGTTTGAGTTAGCCGGTTGGCCCAATCCAAAACATACGCGCTCTCGCTAAGCTGTACTACGACGCTGGTTATCAAGTGGATCGCTCAAGCCAGCAGTGTCCTATCTAGTTAGGTGCGCGTTCACATGAAAGGGGTGGTATTTGGAGCATTCGACCAATCTCAAACACGGAGAAGCGTACTGACAGCGCAGCGTCATACTTCCTGAATGAAAAGTGAACTTTAATATTAGTCAAATATGAAGAAGTTGAACTTTAAACATCCATGACTTAAACACTTTATCCAGGATAAAAGCCACATAGCTGCACCTGCAAGGTGAATACAGCTGGTAAAAGAAAAAGTGTTTGAATGCGTACATTAACAGGTTTATGATATCACTGCCCCGTCCAAGACACGAGTGGATCTGACTTTAATTAGGAGAATTTGACTCGAGTGTTTCATCAACTTAATGTGTTGCTTAAAATAATACTTCTGCATACAGTATGTGACACTGAGTGTTGCACGGCCAGATACGGCTCAAGAAGCTGACTCAAATAAGGAAATATATGATACATTATGATGTGATATGATATGAATGATAATGGCACACATCGACGTCTGCACTCACAGTGCCGCGGACTGTACTTAATGTTACTCTGATCCGGTTACTTATGTTGTGGCAGATATTTAAGTAAGCTTTCTTAACGCTAATGTTATAATAGTCAGATTGCTCTGAAGATGGGAGGGGATATTCTATTAATTTTCACGTTCACACAGTCAGTTGATTTTTGCCGGCCGTCTTTCCTGCAACGGCAGTTTTTCTGTATTTCCTCTATCCTGTAATATGAATTGATCGCTTTAAACTCCGCACACGGAGCTCTGATTGGTCAGCAGGCGGTGCTTTCACTGAGTTGATCTCTTAGCCTGCCACCTAACCTGCTCCGGAGCAGGTTTGCCGCTCAGCATAAGTTACCATGGAAATCTAGCCTGCTAAAAAGAGAACCAGCGTCGTAGGACCGGAAAGCCAGAGATTTCCCTGAAGTTAGCTCGCTAAGCCAAAATCCAGCTTCGTAGTACAGGCCTCTGTTGTTCATAAAAAAACATTGTTGTGATGATCTTAACTTAAACTTTACTGAACTATACTTACAAATTAATTTATATGTTTAAACTCTTTACTCTAGAGTGCGTTTTTTTATTGTCTATCATTTTTGTAATAATGCATACGTTTTAAGAGTGAGTTTTCTAGCACCATTGCTCGAAATTTGGGACAAAAGTGTTCACAAACAGCAGACTAGAAGTGTTTCTCAGTATGCATACTGACTTTGTTGAGAATAAATAAATTGGGATAAAAGAAACTTGAAACAGCCGACAAAAAGTTACCTGGGGTACCACATCCTGCAGGAAGGTCACCACACTTTCCATGTAAGACTGCTCCCTGTGACAAAAAACAGCCTGTTTAGATTGACAGCCCAGCAAAATGTCAATTTTCTAAAGCTGTATAGATGTATTTATCTGCATGTAGATACTTAATGTAGTGGATTTAAATGATATTGAAAAAAGTAAATATCATTTGGGGAAACATTTAAAGTGGTGCAATTTAAAAACATATTCTAAAGATGACATGAAAATATGCAACATCAATCTTCTTCAAGCAGAGTGTGACTTGTCCTTGGTGCCCAGGAACATGATTTTTTAAAGGGGAAACAGACAGACGGATGGAAAGACAGAATCATAATAGTGATTTCTAATAAAATAAATATTGCTGATGTCTGTCCTTACGTAGCAGCTTGTGCCCGCACCAGAACCCCTCCAGCACAGCGACTAGGTCGGCATGGGGAGTCCGATGCCATTTCGTCACCTGTATTTTTTAACCTGAAAAAGGTACAAAAATCACATATTATTATGACAGCAGCATAGAAATAAAACTAATCATTTATTTGCCCTGGAACTAACTTGTAGAGCACCGAATGTTTCCCTGTAGCATGCAAATAGAAGAACATGTGAAAGACAGGTAGAAGTAATTTTTGCCTGACTCTTTACATCTCAGATTCAGCTTCTTAATTTGAAATGTTTAAAATATTTGTTTAGACAAAAAAAATCCCCAGCAAAATGTCATACATTTCAATGAAATATCTTCAAAGTCTTTGCTTTAGTCAAAAGATGTTCCATGTTAGTGATCTAAGAAAAGCAAACGATTCAACAGCTGGAACCAGAGGATGTTCACATGTTTGCTGATAAATGACTAACACTTAATGAATTAAACTTGTCAAGCAATGTACTGTTGACCATCTAATCCATTAATAGTTTCAGAAGCGCACTGTACTGACTTTAAGAAAAATACATGTTGATAGGGATGCTTTAACACCATTAATGTTACAGAAAAATTAGTCCCATCATTATCATATTGAGGATTTCAACATCAAGTGCAGCCAGAATAAGAAGCATATGTTATGTTGTTGTCTCATCCTATACTGTGTCTTTACTTGAGAGAGCATACTTTAAAATAAAGAGCTAAGATATACGACATATGGCTTCTCTTGTATAGCCTGCCATACTGTTAAGCTTAGCTATTTTAACCTATATTATCGTAAGCATGTTTTCATTGAATGTATGCCTCACACACGTGCAAAGAAAAGGCTAATACCTGCAAAGCTTGCCAACTGTCAAATCGACTCATTATGGCTATTGTCTAACCAACGGTAGAGTGATGTCGTCTGATAAGGACCCTGAAGCTAACTTAGCTAGCATTAGCATTAGCTTAAGAAACTCTCGTGTAGTGATAAAACGACACAACCGGAGCCTTACAAGAGGACATGCATGTGTCGAGTAATGTAAGACTGTATTGTCAAGTAGATATAGTTACGAACCGTAGTGTAGAATGACGACTGTGTCCTTTCTTATGGACTTGTGTGAAGAGCTCTTCACAATAACGGTGTCAAAACAAAAACAGACTGGATTTGCGGAACTGTGTTGTTATGGGAAGCCAATCCGATCGCAGAAACGTTTTTGTCTACCCAATCAGCAGACAGTTAGGGCGGGACTAGTGCCTTCGTCACATTGTCTTATCATTTGACAAATGAAACATCACAAGTCTCTTACATGTCTTACAAATAGGCAATACAATAATTACAACTACTACAACTACTTGTCTGAAAAAGTCGGTCTCCAAAATCATTCTTATTTTATATTTTTTGATTATTTTACTTTATTATAATAACTATTTTAATAATATTACTAGTTGTATTTTTCTTTTAAACTTTTTTCTTAATTGAATTAGATTTTTTTACTTTATTACATTTGCAATTCCTTTTTTCCTAAACCAGCAAACAGAAATGCGACTGTACTGTAGTGCTTTTTTTGTAAAAGAAGAAAGAAAAAGCTCTCACAAAATCCATCTCATAGCTCTCAAAAATAATAACTTCATTTATTAATGGGTAACCATAACCATTATTCTTGACTAATAGCAAGGTGATATGGTAATGAATTTTCTCATGAGGAGTTTCCCAACTTATATTCATTCCAATACGGTATCTAACCCTAAAACTAACCCCAAAACCTTTACCCCAGTGTATACAAAAAACAAGATAGAAAAAACCCGGTACCATCACACCTCTCTTTCTGAAAAAACAGCACATTTTACGAAACGTCAGGGATTTTCAGTTTATACAAATTATTATATTTGTATTTCTTGGAACTATTTTTGTTTTTAACCAATGCCTTCTTTCACTTTTTTACCAATGTATTTGTAACTTTAACAAAGCCTTTCTCTCTACCTGAAGGGCCTACGTTTTACCATCTGGACCTCTGCTTGAGTTTCTCACACAGGCTCATTGCGACACATAAGAACACCCTAACCTGAAACAACAGTCACCTGAGAGACACCAGAACCACCATCCACAGACCAAACAAGGAGGGAACAACGTCCATGTGAGACAGGTTAGGGCCCCTAAACTATGAATACTGTATTTATATAAAAATCTGACTGTGAAATCGAGTGAAGGAGGGAAACAGGCACAACTCACACATAGGGACACCACCAAGCTCAAAAACACTACACAGTCTCTCTTGTCACTTAACACACTCATCCACTACAATACAGCATAGACACACCACGAATGGAACTACATCCACTGATACTGTACACATCTTTATGGTCCATTGACTCACCCACTAGATCAATAAACTAGACACCTCAGTAAGCAATACTTTCAGCTAATTCAAGCAATACACCACCAACACAAAATAGAAAGGCCCTTGCAGCTAACACATATTCACCAGGCATGACCTGGCAAGTCAACAGACATACATAATTCATTATAGCATCCACACCAACAGAACATACACTCACCAAAATACATAGCAACACCATCAACTGCATACATATACATGATTATACAACAACATTACAAAACCATCATATAAACCCTAATCCTTACACTTCCCTTCCCCAAACCTTAACATCTCCTTCCCTCCAGCTACATATAGAGCCAAGTGCCATCTGGTCAAATCCAATTTACAGGACTGGTGCATGACAGGTACTAAACCAATCCGGATATTGGGAGACTCCAACCTTTCCAGAATCCCACCCATCCCAGGAACCAAAACATCCAAATTGACAGCTTCCCAGGGCCAAAGCCTACAACTTATTAGAACTACTTAAACCCAACCCACCCCCTAGGGTCTAAACTCTTATCCTGTATAGTGGTATCAATGAACCAGAACGCCAGACAAACTATAGCACGGCTCAGGGCTCTTCACAAACTTGCCAAAACAACCTCACCCACACAAAAACAAATCTATAACCGATCAATGAATCTAGGTTCTAAACGCCAAACCCCTGACTGGTATCCTACACAACATGATCACAACCAGACCAGTCAAGATCCATTGGATGACACCCACAGCTCAACTCATACTGGAAAAATGACTCCAACAGTTACAGATAAATGTATAACGCTTATAAACGCAATCCAGCATACAGTACATATACACCTACACGTAACCTACAATCTGACGGGACCCACATCCCCTCTAAACCCAACCCCGAACCTGACCTGGGGTGGAGTTCATCATCCACAGTTATCAGTCTAGATTATGTTTCCTCTCTGCAGTACAGCAGCGGCTATTGCAGAGGGGCCTGACCTTTGTTCCATGCCCTTCTGAGTATGACTGGGAGTAACTTCGTAGGCATCTACACCGATACCAGATAACCCTTGCCCCACCATGTGATTCTTCACATTAGACCTAGAGTATCAGACTGCAAATGTTATTATGGCCAACTATCCACCAAGCATGCTTCATCAAATATGCCACTATTTGGACCTAATCAGACCCATACTGTTTCGACTCACTCCTACCGCTTCACAATTTATATCAACAGTCCATATAATAAAGAAATAGGCCCATCAAATGGTATCCTTAGTAATTAGCAATTCATCAACCACACACAAAATACCAATTGAACGGGTTCCTTAAGGCCTACCAGGACACACTTCTATATCGTATAGGTAATCCCACACAACAATTTAATTGTATTTTACGCAGGGACCAGAATGGGCATTTTACTTGAAGTGGAGAGCATGCACGGCAAACCCACAGACACGCTACGGTGCCTTAACCCCAACCCCAACCCCAACCCAAGGGTAAGGGCTAAGGTTAAAGATGTAAAAAATAGCCACACTTTGAGACATTTTAATTACATTTTATATTTGGAGTCAATGAAAGCTACAGTACATGAATGAAAAACGCTAGAGGCAACAGAAGACAATCAAATACACTTAATTCCATGACACCACTCCTCACAGTTGGGGATGAAATCACTGACCAATATGAACGCTCATCTTGCTCTACACACTTATACACATCAAACCATTCAACATGAGTTCTTGTGATGTAATTACTTTTCACTTGATGTGAAAAATTATTCAGAGTCAATGAGACGGAAAGTGTTCTGCAGTCGATCACAAGAACTGGCTTTGTTTACTTCCCCCAACACATCATTTGCTCTAACTCGCATTTACAATGATACTCTGTCTTACCGTCATACACATTTCAACTGACTGCATTGTGTGCATGTGTGTGTGCGTGCAATCCATTTCTTGTTCTACATTGTGTTTTCTGTCTATTTGTTTCCATTTGGATGCCAGTCGGTGTTCAAATGCATCTGTAATATGATGAATCTCCTTTGTACTGAGCCGTATCAACAAACATTATTGTGTTGTGTATTATTTTATACCCCATTTACACCTTACTACCATGTGATAGGAATAAAAACACATTTAAGCGTTTAAATCGCAGCATGCAGATATACATTTAAGGTTAACCTTAATGTTGTTGAGAATTAAATAAATGTTGTATTCGAATACCAAATATGACTTTGGTGTTGACTTTTCATTGCTCTTGAGTTATTGGAAATGTTAATGATCAAAACTAATCCCACCACTGGAATTTACTAATAGTATAATTAGGCCAATTAGTATTAATTAGTCATGCCTAATCTTTATCTGGAACTGTTCGGCTATCAGCTTTAAATGGGCCTATTTTTCCCTTTCCCATAGTGTGTTATATAGATTTTTGTGCATGTAAATGGTCTGCAAAGGCTTAAATAACAAAGTACGTGCCACAGGGACTTTCATAGTGACATCACTATGTAACACTTGCGCTTCTATACACATTGTACGTGATTGGCTTAGAGCCAATCGAAACAGAGCCGGCTAGCTAACTAATCAGAGCAAACTGCAGGCTCTGGTCACAGACAGAGGGTGAAAAGAGGTGCTGCAGCACAGGCAGTATGAGAAAATACCTTTTTGAACATTAAAGCATTTAAACATGTCAGGTTAGAGGCAAAACATACTAATATGAACCTTAAATTGAGCATAATAGGGCCCCTTTAACCCTTGTGTTGTGTTCGGCTCTCCCGTGACCCGTTTCAAGTTAAAATAATATAATAACTACGCTCTAGTTTTTTGTTATCGGAACAAAGCTTCATGATATCCTCCACAACAGCTATATAAACACTGCAAAACTGATTTTGTAAATTTTAGCCAAGTCTGAAGGTCTCTAAAAAATTGTTATAATGGTATTCGGGCCCAATTAAGATTCATCTTTGACAAAAGACACCCCACTCCCACCCCCACCCCCTTCATCCACTGTAACAATAATTTTTTTCGCAACACGCACCTGGTCTATCATCAACCCGAGTGTTTTGGACTGAGATAAATCATGGGTAAAAATGTACCCGTGAACACCATGAACGGTGACAGCTTTCGCACACAACACAAGGGTTAAACAAAATAGACATGTTGTCTTACATGTGTCAGAGAAAAGACAGTGCTGCAAAAGCAGAATCAGACTATTGAAATGCGGAAGTTAACAAATTAAAGCTAGTTAACTCAACATGTGATGGCTCTGATCAATACATTGATAATATTTTGGGATAAAATGTTACAGTGAGACTGTGCATGGTCCAGCTTTAACACATGTATTCAGACCCTGCATGGTTTTCTTCGTCCACCTGATGGCAGTATGACTCTAGCTATGAAGCTTCCACTAAATCCTCCCTCTTTGTTCTCCTGCCAATTTCTCTTCTCCTGATGCCTTTTTTTTCCTTACAACATCTATGAGAGGAGAGAAAAGGAGAAGAAAAAAGTATCCCCGGGTTAAAATAAATAGCCTTTCACAGTTAATTTAATTGACTATTATGTACAAAATCGAGGTAATTCCGCCTCAGCTGCAATAACAAACAAAAATAGCATTGCCTCAGCAATCAGTTACCACACAAACAGAAAGGCTTTAATCTGCTTCTATCACACAAGATCCAAGAATGAAGTTTGTTCAGACACTGAGGCACCTGTTTTTTTGAATTGTTGTAACATCTCTGCAGAGGAATAATACACTCAGTTGAAGAAATTAAGAGAATGAATATGTAATATTCTGCAAGAGAACAGA